ACCCAAGATCAGAACCAAGTTTGGTCCCTAGCACATCAACAACAACAACAACCCAGCAATTGATTCATGATACAATTAGCTGGTTTTCTCAGCACACACACACACACACACACACACATGCACACACATAGTTGCTAGAATAGAAGTTGTGACTCCCCATGGCCACAGAGACCGCACTTGGTGGTACACTGACGTAGCAGGCCAGGTCAGGTAAGAGAAACACCCAGTCCTCTCCCTTTTCTTCACTCTCTTATTTCTGTTGAGATATAGGTGCAGAGTAAAGTTTTCCACTGCCAGCATATAGCAATGAGAAATGGTACATCAGTGCTGGGGAGACAACAGACCAAGGTGGAGACAGGCACATGTCCTGCGCTCACCTTTCCAGGCCCAGCCAAATGTTAGCATGATGGATGGGAGATAGGCCAGGTGCTTCTGGAGAGAAGCCAGGCATTAAGATCCTATGTGGAATTTCCTGATTTTTAAATATTGGTGGTTGTCTTAGTCCACTCATGCTGCTATTACAAAATTTCATACACTGGTCGGTTTAGGAACAACAGAAACTTATTTCTCACAGTTCTGGAAGCTGGGAAGTCCCTGATCAAGTAATGGCAGATTCGGTGTCTGGTGAGGGCTGTTTCCTGCTTCCAAGATGGTGCCTTCTTGCTATCCTCACAGTGTCAATTAGATTTCAACACAGGGATTTTAGAGGGACACAGAAATGTGGACCATAGCACAGCAAGGGGTGGTTCAAATTTTTAGAAATAGCACCATGTGGGACAAATGAATCATATCCATGTACCACATACAGTCAGCCTGTGGGCCTCCAACCTGCTCCAGGCTGATTCATATCTGAAGCCCTCATGGTGTCATAAAGGAAAAGCACAGTCCACAGGCAAAACATGGCTCTCAGACTAGCTGGGTCTGGTATTATCTCTAAAACAATAGGTTGAGACCTTGCCACCAAAATTCTAAGTCAGGTGGGAGCTGACTGGGGAGTCTCACAGAGCTACAAAACTTACCACACCAGCGTTTGTGCATAGATCAGTTCTAGAACATTCCTGGCAATGTCAAACTCCTGTAAGCCAAGACTTGTGATGAATCGCATCCCAATGATCCTGTGAAAATGTACTAAGTTTAGTACCCAAACCACAACTCCCTACTTCAAAACAGGCCCCACAAAGCTGGCTGTGGTGGTGTACACCTGTAATCCTAGCACTGTAGGAGGCTGATGCAGGAGACTGACAATTCCAGCCCAGCTGGGCAAATTAGCAAGATCTTGTCTCAAAAATTAAAATTAAGCCGGGCGTGGTGGCACATGCCTGTAACCCCAGCACTTGGGAGGCTGAGTCAGGAGGATCCCTGTGAGTTCGAGAACAGCCTAGGCTACACAGTGAGTTCCAGGTCAGTCTCAACTACATAGTAAAACCCTGTCTCAAAAAACCACCCCCCCAAAAAAAATTAAAATTAAAATTGAAATTAAAATTTAAAAGGGGTGGGAATGTAATTAAGTGAAAGGTCCTGGGTTCAATCTCATTAACACACACATACAACATCAGTCAACAATGAAGCCCTTCCCCAGTTTAGAATAAAGTTGTAAGTTCCCTTGAAAATGTCCAAAAAGTTCCAATAACATAAGCCTGCATTTGAAAAATAATTGAGAGGCTTGAGGGGGAAATACAATCAGTATAGTGTAGTTAAGTGGCACACTGCTAAAGTAATTTCAAAATAACTCTAGAGAACATTTGTTACTTTAAGTATTTAATTATCCCAATTTTTATCTTGTTTGTACCACTCCTTGCTTATTAAACTCTTTTTTTTTGAACCAGATAAACGGAGAACCTCCCAACTCAAATAAACAAAGCAAAAAAAATTTTGGGGGGAGGATCCTGGGATCAAACCTAGGGTCTTACACATGCTAAGCACACATTCTACCACTGAGCTCCAGCCCTAACCGGATAAAACAAAAAATTTAAATTTATGGTAACTGCAGCCAAATTAATGATTTTTCTTTGTTCCCTAAATCTGCAAGGAGGGAATCGAGCTCTCCGTTTACTCTGAGGAAATCTGAGACTACCTTGACTTCTTCAGACAGAGAAGTTCCCAATGATAAATTTCTGTCAAAAACAAACCAATCAATCCTCTCATGCGTATGCCAGGCCCGGGGCAGAGGTAGGAGAAAAGGGGGCTTGGGCAGCACTGAGTGAGGGAAGCAGACACCAATCTCCTGACTGAGAAAAGACCCGGCGTGATGTCATGCCAGCCCCTCACCACGGCAGGAACTGGCAGAGCCATGAGAAGAATACGTGGGAGGAAAGAGATGCTCCTCATCTCATTTAAAAATGAATGAATGAGTGAATACAAACACACACACACACACACAGAACCACACAGGGCTGAGGTAAAACTCAGGGGCAAAGTGCTCGCCTAGTATGCACAATGCCTTGAGTTTTATGTCCAGCATCCAGTATGGTTAAAAAAAAAAAAAAAGATCAATGATAATAGTACCTCATCTATATACTGATATTAAAAAAAACTTAGCCGGGTGTGGTGGCGCACGCCTGTAATCCCGGCACTCAGGAGGCTGAGGCAGGCGGGTCTGTGTGAGTTTGAGACCAGCCTGGGCTACACAGTGAGTTCCAGGTCAGTCTCAACTATACAGTGAGACCCTGTCTTTAAAAAAACAACAATAAAAAAAATTAGAAGCCAGGCATAGTGGCATACCTTTGAAATCCCAGTATTCTCAAGGCAGGACAATCATGAGTTCGAGGCCAGCCTGGGCTACATAGAGTTCAAGTCCAGCTTCTCTGGGCTGGGGATTTAGCTCAGCGGTTCGGTGGCCTGCCTTGCAAGGGCAAGGACCTGAGTTTAATCCCCAGTACCAAAAACAAAACAAAACAAAACAAAACAAGTCCAGCTTCTCTCATAAACACATTAAATTAAGATTAACTTTACACACACACACACATTAAATTAAGATTAAATTTACATGTACTAACATGGAAAGAGGCCACAATGCATAGTTGGCTTAATGAAAGCAAACTCTACAATGTTTTTGTTACACACAAAAATCCTGTGCATAAAAAAAAAAAAAAAGCCCATGCTGCGCACAAACAAAATCATCACAGTTTGCAGAATGACTTAAAAAATTTTTTTTGTGACATGGTCTTGCAAAATTACTGTTATGGTTTCAGATCAAGAGCACCTCTCACCCCCAAAGGCCTCATGTGTGCACAGGCAGCGCTGTGGCAAAGGTGCCTGAACCCCGGGGGCCACATTAGTAACTTGTAGAGAGAAGGTGGGGTCGAGAGGTGGCCAGGAGCGTGGCCCTCCCCCGCTGGCCCATCTTCACTGTTTCCTGAACCCCTGAGGTGAGCAGTGCTTCTCTTCCGGTCTTCCCACCATGCTGCCCACAACACGAAGACCAAGACTTCTGAAAAGTCTCAGAATAAACCTCTCCCGCTTCTAGCTGCAGGTGTTGGTATTTTGTCCCAGCGATGAGGAAAGTGACTAAGACAGGTGCCCAGGCTGGAGTCAAACTTGAAATCCTCCTGCCTCAGCTAACGGAATGCTGGAATTACAGGTGTGCACTGCCACGCCCAGCTGTGTGACCTCATTTTTATTTTGGGAAATTATTTAAAATTATATATTTTAAAATATATAATCCTAGAATATTAAAATTATCTACAATGGATGTAATTTTAAGTAGCTAAATTTCTATTTTATTTGGAGAGAGAGAGTGTGTGTGTGTGTGTGTGTGTTTGTGTGTTTTCTTCAAGAGAAGGTTGTAATGAACCCAATAAACTGTTACAACACGGCTGTCAGGTTAAGGTACAATTTTAGTTCATTGAGAAGACAGCAATATCCCAAAGGACGGTGGGCAGATTACAGTGACACACAAGTCGAGTACATAAGGGACCCACCCCGACTTGGTGCTCAGTTGGGAATCCGGAGGTGGTTAGAGCATAGGATCAAATACTCATGGCCAACAGATATTTACCTCCTCAAAAACTCGCCCAGGAAGGAGTCAGCCAGAGAGAACATGAAATCCATCAGAAGGAGCCGGTAGATCTCCTGGCCAATGACAGTTTCCCAGCACTGGAAGGCAGACAAGAGTCAGGATACGGCAGGGCTGCTGACCCTGCTGGGTTCACATCTGTTCTGTTCCTGCCTCCATGTGCCATTTTACTGAGTCCCTTACCCAGAAAAGCAGACCCACTCTTGGCAGATAACCAGCCAGGTTTCTCTCCTTCTGTGCTTTCTTTTCCATTAAACTTGCCCACCACAGGCTTCCAAACTCCTGCCACCTCACCACACACCCCTCAACACTACCACCACCATTTCTTAGCCAGGGCTAATCAGCCTTTTTTTGGAGACAAAGTCTGGCTATGTAGTTCAGGCTAGCCTTGAACTTGCTGCATAGCCCAGGATGGCCTTGAACTCTCAGTGATCTTCCTCCTGCCTCAGCCTCATGAGTACTGAGATTACAGGCATGTGCCAACACCCATGGTGGGCTCATCAGTTCCTTCAGGGCCATGGGAGGGATTGTGGTTTAGAATGCTCCCCTTTTTGCTGGTTGGCTTTATGATAAATGAATCAGTGTGTACTTGAGTAAGAAGTGAACTAGAGGTTTACCAGGCTGATGTAAACTGGAAATGTGACTTGGTTTATGGAACTGGTGATCAGTAACTTCGGCAGGAAGTCAATACTATGAACTGATAGATTGGGAGATTTTAGGATTGGCTGAAGGACAGGGAATTTTTGGTGCACAACTGGTGATCAGTAACTTCTGCAGGAAGTCAATACTATCAACTGATAGATTGGGAGATTTTAGGATTGGCTGAAGGAGAGGGAATTTTTGGTGCACAACATGAGGATGGATGGATGGATGGATAAGTGGATGACTGAAAAGATAGATGAGGTGGGTGGATAGATGGCAGATAAATACATGGATGGATGGATAGACGGATAAGTGGATGGATGGGGTGGATTGATAAATAACAGATGAATAAATGGATGGACTGATGGATAGATGGGTAAGCAGATGGATGGATAGAGGTGGGCAGATGATAGATGGACAGATGGATAGATGGATGGGTGGATGGGAGAGTGGGTGAATGGATGGAGGTATAACATGGTATCTTCTCTAAACAGGCTAACCTGGAAGCCTGGTTTTAAACTTCTTTGACAATAACAGTGAAAAGGTAAGGGTACCATGTTCATGAATCTGGAAACATCAGCATTATTTTGGTCCAGGAACAAAAGGTGATAGACAGTTGGAGAGAAGCCCTTGCTTCCCTGACTCTACTTCCAAACCCAGGCATCCCAGGCACTGGAGGGCTCAGGATGGAAGAGGATGTAGGGGCCCCAGCAGCTGACGGAGAGGCATCCCAGAGAGATGGCCGCCAAGGTGGGCTTGGGACACCATTCACAGAGTGGGAGTTCAGAAGCTTGGCCTCTGACCCGAAGGGAGACTAAAAGGTGTGGTCGAATAAGGCAGAGCCAGGAAAGGTCAGGATCAGGACATAATTGTTACTGGCAGCACTTAGAGAACAGGTAGTGCTGGAGAATGGTAAAGCCCAGGGTTGTCTAAATTTCAGGGGAAAAAAAATCGAACAGGGAGGATCAAAACAGATCTTATTCAGAATCCCAAGGCTTTTAGAACAGATTGGCATTAAAATGAGTAAAATCTGTCCCACACCCACCTTAAACCGGGTCCTGTACTTCCCCCATACATGGTACTGTTTATTTAATTCCCGTTTTTACTGATGAAAACTGAAGCAAAGGTGACTGCAGAACACACAGCTGGTCCTCAAGGCAGGTCTGCCTGGGTCTAGGGCTGAATCTCTCACCCAAGCCCCCTGCCTTATGCCGCCTTCTACCCTAGCTACTGGTCTCCGATGAAGGGGTCAATGAGAATAGGGCGCGCCGGCCATCAAGAAACCCGCATACCCCTCCGGCAGCACAGACTACAAAACCAAACTTAGGGCAGAAAGGCCAGAAAAATCTCTCTCACCTCTCCGTTAGATAGCGCCACAGTGTTGAGCCAATAGTGACAGAGAATTCCGATGACTGACATTTTTAGAAGGATGTTGCTAAATAACAGAAAAGTACGATCGTTACCCTCCGCGGCAGTCTCTTAGGCTTTCTCAAGATAATTCTTTTTGGGCACGTGATAGTACAGAAGTCTCTGCCCCCCAGCAACCTACGGTGGCTGGGTGGGGCCACGTGGCTTGTTCTAGCGAGCGAATTGTGAGAATAAGTGATAGCGAGACCCTCTGGAACTCTCTGTCTCCTCCACGGAATGGCCCCAGCGTTATCCGACATGGGCACTGCTCCTGTGGAATGTTTTTTTTGTTGTTGTTTTGTTTGGTACTGGGGAATCGAACTCCGGTCCTTGCGCTTGTGAGGCAGGCAGCAGAACCAATGAACTAAATCCCCGGCCCTGCTCCTGTGGAATGGACTGCTCACTGATTAACAAGACCAGAACCCTCCTGCCAATCCATAATGCACACGTAGCATGGACAAGAAAGAAACTTTTGAGTTGGGGGTTTAGCTCAGTGGCACCTCGCCTGCCTCGCAAGCAGGGGGTCCTGAGTTCAATCCCCAGTACCCCCCCAAAAAAAGAAAAAAAAAATGAAAGAAACTTTTGGGTTCCAAACCACTGAACTTTGGGGTTTCTTTTTGTTACTGCAGCATCACCTATTTTATCTGACTGATACATTCTTTTTTGCTGTGTCTACACCTATCTGATTTTAATTTCTCATGAAAATAATAGTAAATGTACTGTTCCTAACATTCGTTGGGTGCTGAGCACTTAATGTGTCATTCATTCCCTTTAATCTTTACAATGCTGCCATCAGGTGGATGCTATTTTGGGCCCATTTTCCCCAATATGCAAAGTTTTGGAGTAACAATGAGACCTAATATTTCCCCCTGGTATACGTACCTAAGAAAATGGTGCCCTGGCCCTGGGGTGGGATGTTCAAGAGTAGGGAGGGTACAGGAATCGCCTGTGGTAGGGTTTTCACAATGAGTCAGATATAACTAACGGATTGATGGACTCATTTGCCTACTCATTCACTTCCCAAGTGTTACTGAGCATCTGTTAAGTCCTAGCCATTGTGAGCAAGGCAAAGATTTCTCCCACCAACTATGGGGAAGGAAGATATCAATCAATAAAATATGTTAAGAAGGGGTACAAAAATGATAATGCAGGGGTGAAAGGGCAGCGAGGAGCTGTTGTTTTTAATAGGGTGGCCAGGGAATAGCTCTCTTTGAGGGTGATATTTAAGCAAAAGCCAAACTAAAATCAGAAGGAGAGCCATGGGTACCTCTGTAGAAAGGGCTTCCGGGCAGAAAGAACAGCCAGGGCAAAGGCCAGAGGCAGGTACAGAGCTCAGCAGGCTTGTGAGCTCTTAGGAGCTGCTGAGGGAGAGGGTGGGGACCTAGAGAAAAAGAGGTAGGAAAAGAGGCGGGAGAGCTGGCCCCAAGGTCTAGAATCCTCAGTATAGACGCTCAATCTGCACTATGCAGACTACTGTCATAGCCAGAAACTAACTGATCAGGAACTGGCCAGGAAAAAGCTGTAAGGACAAAATTTGGGTATTTTTAGCCTTTGTTTATCAAAACGCCAGGGTCATCTCTAGTACACAGGGTTTTTTGTGGGAGCCACTAAAGGCACCTGCTCTGAACCAGTGAACTGCCAAAAGCACTCCTCCCACCCCTGTTCGGGTGGCTGAATCACACTTGACAATGGGTGATTTCAGGCCCCACACAGCTCCTCATCTAGAAGCCTTGGCACAGTGCACCACCCATCTAACTGTCCACGTTATACTTGAGAACTATGTTTATCAGCCTTTGGTAAAGGTAAGCTGTTACTTCGGGCAAAAGGCACTTGTAGTGTGCAAGAGTATCTTCCTAGAGTTCTTTTATGGCTATTAACCCACACCACATTTTCCACTTGGAATTGCTTTCTTTTGGAGCATGGAATATTCATTTTATTTTGTCTCAAGACAGGGTCTCACTATGTAGTGCAGGCTGGCCTTGAACTCACTATGTAGCTGAGGCTGGCCTTGAACTCACAGGGATCCTCCTGCCTCAGCCTCCCAGGGGCTGGGATTACAGGTGTGCGCAACCACGCCCTCCCGGCTAAACTAATTTCTCTAACTCCATGGAAACGAGGCTGCTGCTGGGTGTGGCAGACACACCTACCGGATCAGGAGGTTGTACACTTCGTGCCGGGGCATCTCGTACTTCTCCACCAGCCCAAACATGGAGTAGAGGCGCGGCACGATCAAATTGATGCAGGACACCACAAAAGGCAGTAACAGCACTGCCCAGGGGTCCCTGTGCGTCCTCAGGAACTGCAAGGATGGAGGAGAGAACCAAGATGCCTGCTAGGCACTGCACCCTCTCTGCCTCACTCAGAAGAGATGCGTCACGGGGAAGGCCCAGTGGCAGCGCCTGTGGGGTTCACTACTAAGCTTCCATTTCTTTAGCATTTAACCTGTGCCAAGCACATGGAGGCTCAGAGAAGCAAAGACACTTGCCTCGGGTCACCAGCAAGGCAGGGGCAGATCTGAATGCAGATGTGTTGAGCCATTCTGGGACTCTGCCTGCATCACCGAATGCAAAGGCCCAGGCACACCATAGTTGATGCAGCACCACAAAAGGCAGTAACAGCACTGCCCAGGGGTCCCTGTGCGTCCTCAGGAACTGCAAGGATGGAGGAGAGAACCAAGATGCCTGCTAGGCACTGCACCCTCTCTGCCTCACTCAGAAGAGATGCGTCTCGCGGAAGGGG